GTCTTGAGAAGAAGATTTTTGAAATTTCAGTCAATTCAACCCTTTTTGGCCCCACCCATCAGCCCCGGGGGGTCAGTCAGGGCTGATATGTGCATACCATCAAACTGCTATCCAATACAGATAATGCTAACCCAAATTGAATTACTTCCAATGGCAATTAAACAAATGTTGGTCCAAAATGTGATTTCCCTATATAAACTATAGTAAAGTTTACCCCCTCCCCAGAGGGAAACATGAGACCACAGGGTCATGAAATTCACAATTTTTGTAAAGCACCTTAAGACCCTTCCATCTATGAAGAGTGTTTGATTCTACCATATCTGGATCTTGAGAAGAAGATTTTTGAAATTTTAGTCAATTTTACCCTTTTTGGCCTCACCCCTCAGGCCCCTTGGGGCTGGGGACCATATAATTCACAATGTTAGTTGACCTTTGGCCATGGAAGGTTTCTGCAAAATTTCATTGAAATTGGTTCAGGGGGTTTGGAGAAGTTGAAAATGTAAATTGTTTACGGACGCACGACGGACGCTGCCGGACAAAAGGCGATCGCAATAGGTCACTTGAGACTTTGTCTCAGGTGACTTAAAATCTTCTTGCTTTTTCTAAACAAGGGCCATTACTTCGTGAAAAGGGGAGATAATCCAATGAAAAGTACTTTACGCACATCTTCAAGATGCAAGGATTGTTATCAGCAAATTTCATTGAAATCTGTCCAGTAGTTTAGGAGAAGTACACGGTACTACATTGCGTCTACAGACGGACGGACAACCTGATTCCAGTATACCCCCCTAACTTTGTTGCGGGGGGTATAATAATATACAATATTTGATATGCATGCAACACAGTCTTCTAGGTTTAACAATAATATACAGGGGTGTATAGTGATTACTTACAACAAGACATTCTTTGAGGTAGTTGAAGATGGTTACAGTAACTGGCACAGTCTCTCCTCTAACTGCAGAGTAAGGCAGGGTGAAGGACAGGAAGAAAGGCTGGAAGGCGGTGATGGTTGCTAGGGGCGAGGTCCCGATACCAACCTCAGTGTTGGCACAGATGGTGTTGCCCACCCATTCAGTAATAGTGTGAGGTAGAGTTCTGGTTAATACCACTTCACCGTCATCTCTGTAACAGACAAACCATCAACAGTAACACAACCACTCAGAACAAAGGTAGCAAAATAATCTGACATCATCAGTGACACAAAAACACCAGACATGACAGTAACACAGCAATGCCTGACATCATAATAAACACAATAACCCATTATGTCAACAGTAACACAATTACCCCCGACATCATTAGAAACACAATAACCCTGACATTATAAGGGACACAATAACCCTGACATTATCAGTGAGACAATAACCCTGCCATTATCAGTGACACAATACCCCTGACATTATCAGTGACATAATAACCCCTGACATCATTAGAAACACAATAACCCTGACATTATCAGTGACATAATAACCCCTGACATCATTAGAAACACAATAACCCTGACATTATCAGTGACACAATAACCCTGACATTATCAGTGACACAATAACCCTGACATTATCAGTGACACAATAACCCCTTGTGTCATCAGCAAAATAATAATGCCCCCAACATTACAGCAACACAATGACATCATCAGAAACAATATTGCTGACATCATCAGGAATACAATTGCATTTACCCCTTGGTTGTCAGTAACACAATAACCTCTTGTGTCATCAGGAACACAATAACCCATGGCAGCACGAGTAACACAATAACCCATGACATTAGTAACAAAATAACCCATGACATCAGTAACACACTAACCTGACATCATCAGTAACACAATAACCTCTGACCTCACAGTAACACAACAACCACTGACATGACAGCAACACAATAACTCCTTATATTGTCAGAAACACAATTACCCCTTATGTCATCAGGAACACAATAACCAATGACATCATCGGTAACACAATAACGTAACATCATCAGTAACACAATTACCCCTGACATTAGTAACACAATAACTCATGAAATCATCATTAACACAATAATGCCTGACATCATCAATAACCCAATAACCCCTAACATCATCAGTAACACAATAACCCCTGACATTACAGTAACACAATTACCCACGCCATTAGTAACACAATAACCCCTGACATCATCAATAACAAAACAATGCCTGACATCATCAATAACACAATAACCCCTAACATCATCAGTAACACAATAACCCCTGACATTACAGTAACACAATTACCCACGCCATTAGTAACACAATAACCCCTGACATCATCAATAACACAACAATGCCTGACATCATCAATAACACAATAATGCCTGACATCATCAATAGCACAATAATGCCTGACATCATAAATAACACAATAATGCCAGACATCAAATGCCTGACATCATCATTAACACAATAACCCAGGACATCATCAGTAGCACATTAACCCCTGACATTACAGTAACACAATTACCCACGCCATTAGTAACACAATAACCCCTGACATCATCAGTAACACAATAACCCCTGACATTACAGTTACACAATAACCAATGACATCATCAGTAACACAATAACCCAACATCATCAGTTACACAATAACTCCTGACATCATCAATAACACAATAATGCCTGACATCAAATGCCTGACATCATCAATAACACAATAACCCCTAACATCATCAGTAACACAATAACCCCTGACATCATCAATAACACAACAATGCCTGACATCATCAATAACACAATAATGCCTGACATCAGCAATAACACAATAACCCCTGACATCATCAGTAACACAATAACCCCTGACATCATCAATAACACAACAATGCCTGACATCATCAGGAAAACAATAACCCCCCACATCATCAGTAACACAAAAACCCCTGACATTACAGTAACACAATAACCAATGACATCATCAGTAACACAATACCCCAACATCATCAGTTACACAATAACCCAACATCATCAGTAACACAATAACCCCTGACATCATCAATAACACAATAATGCCTGACATCAAATGCCTGACATCATCAATAACACAATAACCCCTAACATCATCAGTAACACAATAACCCCTGACATCATCAATAACACAATAACCCCTGACATCATCAGTAACACAATAACCCCTGACATTACAGTAACACAATTACCCACGCCATTAGTAACACAATAACTCATGACATCATCAATAACACAACAATGCCTGACATCATCAGGAAAACAATAACCCCTCACATCATCAGTAACACAATAACCCCTGACATTACAGTAACACAATTACCCACGCCATTAGTAACACAATAACTCATGACATCATAAATAACACAACAATGCCTGACATCATCAGGAAAACAATAACCCCTCACATCATCAGTAACACAATAACCCCTGACATCATCAATAACACAATAACCCCTGACATCATCAGGAAAACAATTGCAATAATCATTTATGTTGTCAGTAACATATTTACCCCTTACGTCATTAGGAACACAATAACCCATGACATAATGAGTATAACAATAACCCAAGACATCATCAGTAACATACACAATATTCAAGTAGTTCTAAGTCATCTGTGACAAAGAATCAAACAGGAGGGAAAAATATTCAGGAAACCCAAGATACTAGTACATGTTATATATATATATATTTTTTATTATTCTTACAAAACATCACTATAAATACCTACCCGATACACAGGTTTACAAATGACTATCATTATTATCACTAATCAGTTGTACTCTATGTAAGCTTATGGACAAAATATCATTACTAACTCTTTTTCTCAGAAGGAACCCACAAAAACACTGACAATAAAAAATATCCATTGCAAAATATTGATGGAGTCTTATTCTTGTTACAGACATATTCTTCATTTATTCTTTTTTTTTCCAATTAGTTTAACATTCCAATTCTTCCAAATGATCGCTGAATTAAAGTGACACATTGCTATCCATTTAACATACCCCACTAGCTCTATATCCCATAACCAAGTCTCTGGAAAATAGCTTCTTATAGCTACATGTTTGGGGTTTGTAACTGCTGAAGTTGTAGGCATCCCTGGGACTGGGGCCATACCAGGCCGCGGGACTATGAAAATAAAATAGACGTATTCAGAAAATAGAATTGTACCCTATCAACTCCAAATCCCATAGAAATGTCTCAGGAAAAAAGCTCCGAGTCTTGGTTGTCTTTTTATCTGCTTTAGCACCAGCAGCCACTGGGGTTTCAGAATCATACGCTATTTCGTCGTCTACATCCGGAGCGCCCTCCAATACACTGCCTACGGCTACAACACAAACACACCTAGTCTTGAATCTGTTTAATGCACAATGGTAGTTCACAATATTTGAATTTACTGTTTTGATAGCATACTGCTTTTGACTACCATACCTAGAATCAGTTGAATTTTATAACTTTATGAGTTTCACTTACAATAGAAAAAGGATTTGAAAAAGTTATACCTCTGTTTCCCCTATGAAATCCCTTTATCTTTAGACTAGAAAAAGGATTTTAAATGTTTATCCTTTATTTACCCTATTTGGGCCCCCTCCTCTGCCCCAGGGAGGCCACACCCTTCTTTTACAAAAAAACCCCTTCTCTTGGCCTAATGATGCTCCAGACCAAATTGGGATGAAATCCCTTAATATCTATGGTAGAAGAAGGATTTTAAAGGTTTACCTCTATTTCCTGTAGTTGGCCCCATCCATCTGCCCCCAGGGGGGCCACCCCCACCGTTTAAACAAAATAGATTCCCCTTGGCCAAAGCATCCTCTTGACTAAATTAGGATAAAATACCATTATCCTTACACTAGAAGAAGGATTTTAAAAGTTTTACCCCTATTGGGGCCCCCTCCTCTGTTCCAAGAGGGGCCAAACCCACCGTTACACAAAATTGAGCGCCCTTGGGCCAAGGATGCTCCAGACCAAATTTACCGTAAAAACCCATGTAATTTGCCACTTTTTTTTCAGAAATTTAATACTCAAAGTGAGGGGTGCGCAGATTACATAGGTATAAGCAATTTCAAGTTTTTTTCATGAAAAGATCGACGATTCTGGCAGACTGCCATCTTGGCCACAAGATAATATCCCTTGGTATACGGAACTCAAAGACAAACGACGATCAACACATTTATTTATATCAAACATCAATAAAAGATACAATTGATATATACGGTGTTGTTACCTGAGTTTATGTGAAAAGTATTATTAAATAGGTACCTGTTAACAAAGAAAGTTTAGCCAAATTCCTATGCCAGAGAATCGCCGATCAACTTACGTTTCAACATCTCGGTGGGTTTTCCCCATACTATTACGAAAATGTAGTTATTCAATTTAAGCTCCGTTAGTTCTGTTAGTTTTTTTTTTAAATCGCAAATTACATGGGTTTTTACGGTAGTCAAAATCCACTAAGCCGTCGTCCAGGACAAGTAGCGTTTTAAAGAAAAAGTTGATAGACAGACGACGACGTTATTCTGTGTGTCTTGGCTATCGAGAAGAAGAAGTTTGAAAGTTTTATCATATTTGACTCATATGACCTTGAAAGTTGGTCAAGGTTATTTATTTGAAAAGAGTTGATAGCTAGTCATCTTAGCATGCTACTGGCTAAATTTATATATCAGCGCAGGACCAATGGTTATTCAGAAAAAGTCATTTAAAGAGAAAAAAAATAGAAAATGTCTGCAAGACATAAATGCCCCCGCTCATGGATAGGATGGGACGGGACAGACATTGGCAACACTATATGCCCCCCCATTTATGGCGGGGGCATAACAAAATTGATGCCTAACACATAAAAAATGCCGCACCATGGCATCAGCGCTTGTGGCCGTTCAGACCAAGTGAGCGAACATAAACTTAACCAGCAGATTTAGGCCAAAAAAGTTAAATTCAAAACATGTTGAAATTTAAAAAACAAAAATCCAAACTGTTTTCAAATCCACAGCATTAATGCTAAAACCCTAAATAAACTCTAAGCAAAGAATCAGCTTACCAAAGTTTCTATGTATAGCAACTGGAATTCTTCTTCTACGAGAACAAGGTCGAGTTTCCAAAGTCAAATCTGTGAACACCACCATGTCAAGATCCTGCAACATATATAACATCATCAAGCATCGAAGCCTCTTAAAGGCTATTAAGTATGAGAAAATTTACTATGTGTGATTGATAAAATACACAAGGAAGTACAGTCTTGTCCCTCAATCCTTCGTAATGATAGACTTAAGAAGTTAAACAATAGGCCTAGAGGGCTTGTATTGCTCAACAGGATATAAAAGCAATCATGACAAAATATTCTCATTAAAGATAATATGGCAGTACTTCCCCAATTTGGGCTCTGCATCTCAGCCCATAGAAAAACAGTGCTCTTCTTTATATATAACATTTGACACCTGGTCCCAAGAATACTTCATATTGCATTTGGTTTAAATATGATCAACTGGTCAGGAGGAGTAAGCTTTGGGTAAAATGCACAAATCCTTGTCTGCAACTTGCCATTCAATTCCAAGTTGAGCTACTAGATAAATATTTCTTACACCCCTTTTTTGTCCAAGACAGTTTTATCACATATGAGCAGAAATGAGAGAAAATTCTGTACCTGTCAATCTTTTCCTTAATTGTAGTACTGACAAGATATTGATGTATTGTTCATGTACACATGATCACATATAATACACATAATACATACTTACCCTGAAAGCCTGTACAGCATCTACTGTGTTGGTATCATAGGCATAATATCCATAGTAATATCTGGGCACTGCAACGTAATAAAGCAGAGTCGAGTCATCAATGGGAGAAAACAAAATATCAATTAGCTGTAATAAGCTCCCCCTTAAATAAAGCTCCCCTCAAAGTAAGTGTTCTGTGTACCAAGTATCAATCTAATTAGTGCAGTACATTGGAAGAAGTAATCTGAACAGATAATTTTAAAACAAAGGGACATAACTTCGTTAAATGTAGGGTAACTCCAATTGATATCTCCTAAATGTAAGTGTTGTGTGTACTGAGTACATGTATCATTCAAATCAGTACAGTACTTTGGGAGGAGTAGTGTTAACAATGTCACATCTACAGACAGACAACCCGATTCAAGTGTAACCCATCCCTTACCACCATTTTGTTGCAAAGGGGGATGGGTATAATTATTTAAATGTGTTCAATATTGTGGTTTATTCCTTAATACCCGAAAACAATCTTAAGGCAGCATGTTTCATCGTTTACAACATCATCAGAGGTGCCAACAGTTGCGTGGGTAAGCATGCTGTTGTATGGTCCTGACTGCCCCATGTTTTCCCCCAACAGTTAAATGTCCATTTTAGGCATTTATATAGGTGTGGTTTGCACTCCTCTCCTCTGTGGTCAACTTACATCACATACGGCCAAAGCTATATCTAATGACCTGGGACCGCGTGTATAAAACATCTCAAAGCGGAAAGTTTCAAGCAATGTGTTGTCTATGGGAAATCTGAGACTTGAGGAAATCTCAAGAGTTGAGATGTTTTATACAAGTGGAACCTGTTACCTACATAGGGCTTACAGTGTGCCTTACTGACATTTTTTGCTGGAGTTTTGTCGATAACTATACTAAGTCTTGTAACAGGTAGACTGACACATGTCTCCACAGGATGAATCACCATAAGGATCTCATGACAAAGATAGCAAACAACTTTTACAGCCACTTCCATAAATTCAACAACTTTTGTTGTTCACTTTATGGAGTTATAGAGCAACTCCTTTTTCAAATTTTACTAGCTGGTACGAAATGATCTACAACAATGCCTGTCACACTTACGGAGAGATTATAACAAAGAGTGCTAATTTGGTTGGTTTAAGTCAGTTTGGTTAGCTTTTTCACTGCTATATAACATAGGAATTTACAGAGAAAAGCCTCCAGTCCTTTGCGATAATATGGAGCTTTATGATTGATATGGAGTAGGATATGGAAAAGGGCATATGATAACCTGTAAGTATAAATATTAACTCATTCACCCCTAAAGTTTCATAATGAACTATTCCGACCTTTGAATTGGAAGAGTTCAAATGTGTCTGCAGGGGTGAATGAGTTAAGGAACTATTGGGGTCCACTTTTATACATACTGTCCTCTGTGTTTTCTGGTTCTGGCTGTGGAAAGTTTTTTTCGCAGTATTCCTGATCATCACCCCAGTATCCATAGTAAAAGTACGGGTTTTCTATCATACTGTATATCTGGAGGAACAAACAGACATTTACAATACAACACTGGTTACATTTACTTATATCAGAACTTAATAAGAATAACTGCTGTTAACATTTATGTTGTTTAGAATGCTGTAACATTGAGTGCTACATTTAACTCTATCATAAGTACATTGGATATTTCACCATATATAGCTACCTCTGATAAGTGTATGGTGTATGGCAATAATTGTATTGGATAAACATGCAATACTATCTCTGATCGCGATGGTGATAACTATAAACATGCAATACTATCTCTGATCGTTATGGTGATAACTATAAACATGCAATACTATCTCTGATCGCGATGGTGATAACTATAAACATGCAATACTATCTCTGATCGCTATGGTGATAACTATAAACATGCAATACTATCTCTGATCGCTATGGTGATAACTATAAACATGCAATACTATCTCTGATCGCTATGGTGATAACTATAAACATGCAATACTATCTCTGATCGCTATGGTGATAACTATAAACATGCAATACTATCTCTGATCGCTATGGTGATAACTATAAACATGCAATACTATCTCTGATCGCTATGGTGATAACTATAAACATGCAATACTATCTCTGATCGCTATGGTGATAACTATAAACATGCAATACTATCTCTGATCGCTATGGTGATAACTATAAACATGCAATACTATCTCTGATCGCTATGGTGATAACTATAAACATGCAATACTATCTCTGATCGCTATGGTGATAACTATAAACATGCAATACTATCTCTGATCGCTATGGTGATAACTATAAACATGCAATACTATCTCTGATCGCTATGGTGATAACTATAAACATGCAATACTATCTCTGATCGCTATGGTGATAACTATAAACATGCAATACTATCTCTGATCGCTATGGTGATAACTATAAACATGCAATACTATCTCTGATCGCTATGGTGATAACTATAAACATGCAATACTATCTCTGATCGCTATGGTGATAACTATAAACACGCAATACTATCTCTGATCGCTATGGTGATAACTTCATCACCAATGACGGATTATTTTGTTCTGCAATTAAATATTTTACAATTAATCAAATTCTTTTATTTTCTGTGGGAATATTATTCTTGGAGAAAACTTCTATAAATAGCATCAGCCAAACCAATCAGAGCACTGATCATGAAGTGGTGTGAAGTTTTGAAGTTTCATAATCTGTTATTAAATCAGCAACAAAACTACATTTATGAGGGTGATTCTTACCCTTGTGGATCTTACCTTTTCTGGAGTTAGTTGATGATTTCCACCCAAGAGGTTAATACTCTTGTCCACAACCCCAATGGAACAGAAGGACCCTGCCTCAGCTTTGACGCGGATCGTTGCCTCACTCCCAGGGTAAGCAGTCTTGGGTTCAAACCTCATATCCACCTTAACATGTACGGTAAGGGTTGTAGTACAGCTTCTAGACATTCATGATGTTATGAAGTACAGATACAAATGTATGCCTCAAGATGCACTCCTGCTCTTCATTGAATTTATTTGTAATCACATGTGTAAAATACAATCCTATCTCCACAACAATACAAAGTAGATGACTATCAGGCCTAGGTCAACGTTCTGATTTTTAAAGTAGGTCATGGTTATTTTTATGAGGAAACTTCAAAACACTCCAGTACTTACTGACTAATTATCAAGACTTGTGGTCTTTTGGTCATTAATAAAAAGAAATAGTTTTATTAAAAATCAATTTAGGATATGCCGCTCTATGGCATAAACTCACTTTGCTCTTGGGACCAGATGAGCTAAATATCAAACTCTGATGTAGTAGGCAAAATAAACTCTGTACAACCCATTACAACTTCTTTCCCTTTCACTATTCCGTCTTTGCGTATTGCAGTTATCTTCTCTTGTGAGCAGGTGTGAGAAAATTACGTCTTTTTCTCAAAAATTGATGACGTTAATCTCAAAAACAAATGATGTAACAATCAATACCTGCTCACAAGAGCAGATAACTCTGCAATACGAAAAGACGGAATACAGTGACAGAGAAGTTAAGTGTTTCCTATGTTATGTAACCTACCTTGTTGTTGAAGCACTGCTCAATGTTAAATGTGATACTATCTGCCACCGTTTCCATGTCTTCACGTATGTAGTACACGAGGAGCTTGGCATTCGGTGCCATTTCTGCCACAATAGGAATGTGTAGGGTGAAGGATGCAATATGTCCCATTGGCTCTGTTTCTTCCTCCTCCTCCACCTCCTAGAAATCACACAATTATCACATTGTTCACTGAGAAACTTTTGCTTGGGCTTTCTGGAGCTAAAGAATACTGGCCTATCCTATTAATTTTGTCTTCATAAATAAATGTACAGAACAAATAAAACAGGAAGCACTATATAGGTTCATAATGTACACCAGAATTTTAATTTAAATAAAAACCTGTTCATTTTTTGTGATATTGAAAAATAATGGGTCAATTGTTTAAAGTGGTTTTTAATGTATTTGAAAAATATTTCTGTAATGTTTGATTAGGAATCATCAAAGTTGTAGACATTTTAAACAATCTGATTTAACTGACAAAGTCAATTGTGATCGTGTAACAGAGGCATTTGGCAAAAGTTTTGTGTAACCTCCTGAAGTCTAAAACAACCAATTTTCTTGATTAAAAAGTCATCCCTAACATGAAGTCCATTAAAGTAAAGATTCTGAAAAAGAATTCTCTATATTTATGATCATAGCTGTGATAACAAGATTTCTGGACAATAGATGAAGTTTGAGTAACACCATACAAACCTCTGTTTCCGGTTCAGGTTCTGGTCCTGGTTCTTCGGTCAGTGGTCCTTCAATCTCTGGCTCTGGTAATTCAGTTGGTTCAGATTCAGATGTTGTATTTGTCCCATTTACAAGCACAGCAGGAACTCTTACTGCAATACAAGAGTAAAAAAGTCTATAAAACTGACATATTTTAAACTCTTGGAATAAGCCCCTAGTTTGGGGACATATGCCCAATTATAAGGCAAATTTGTTATCACAAAACTAGTTTTGGTTTCGAACTGGTTCTGTAAACTTTCTATTTTTTAATAAGGTTAACAAGGTTTTAAACTGAAACTGGTTTTTCATTTGTTAAAGGCGAACCAAAACCAGTTTGGAAAACTGATCAAACCACACGAGGATATCATCCGTGTCATCGTCATCACTGAGAAACATTTGAAGTATTAGTGGTGACCAGCCACACATTTGTTTTAAAACGATGTTTTATGTTAAACCAAATATTTGTTTGAACAATAGTAAAACTAAAACCAGTTTTGAAACCAAAGCCGAACCAGTTCTAAACTGAACCTTTAAACCAAAACTAGTTTTGTGATAACAAATACACCCATAGTGCTGGAAAATAAAAAAATGTTGAACTTTATTTGTTGCCTAGTTAGTGCTATCCCCAAAATCAATAGAGATATATATCTCTTCCAAAGGGGCAAAATCCATGCAAGTATGGTATAAATTAATACATTTTTCAACAGATATCCTCTATTTTTTTTACATTTTAACAAAATTTATATCGATTTATAACTCCTGTGACCTTCGCATTTGACCTGGTATTCTCAAACTCAACTGGGATCGTTTTCTTGTCAAGGGGCACCAGTAAACTGTTTTTAGACCTGATTTATTATTCAAGTGATAACATTCTAAAACCCACATTTCATTAATATAATTTCAGTCAATTTATTATCACTGTGACCTTGACTTTCATTTGTTGACCCCAAAATCAATATGCCTTTTCTCTTCCTCCGGGAACATCATTCACCCAAAATAATTTTTGGAAAAATTTCAGTCTATTTATAGCTACTGTGACCTTGCCCATTGACCTAGTACCAGAGTTCCTGAAACTTAACAGGGATCTTTTTCTTCCAAAGGGATATCAGCCATCCAAGTAAAGTTTAATCCGACATATTGTTCAAAAGACAATACCCTGGTATTCTTAAACCATGGAATATGTGAGGAGGTCTATGATGCATACAATGAAATATATGATTAGGTCTATGGTGTGTAAAAACCATGGAATATATGAGGAGGTCCATGGTGTATACAAACCATGGACTACAAGAGGAGGTTTATGGTGTATACAAACCATGGAATATGAGGAGGTCTATGGTGTATATAAACCATGGAATATATGAGGAGGTCTATCGTGTATACAAACCATGGAATATATGAGGAGGTCTATAGTGTATACAAACCATGGAATATATGAGGAGGTCTATAGTGTATACAAACCATGGAATATATGAGGAGGTCTATGGGGTATACAAACCATGGAATATGTGAGGAGGTCTATGGAGTATACAAACCATGGACTACAAGAGGAGGTCTATGGTGTATACAAACCATGGAATAGATGAGGAGGTCTATGGTGTATACAAACCATGGAACATGTGAGGAGGTCTATGGTGTATACAAACCATGGACTATATGAGGAGGTCTATGGTGTATACAAACCATGGACTACAAGAGTAGGTCTATGGTGTATACAAACCATGGAATATGTGAAGAGGTCTATGGTGTATACAAACCATGGACTACAAGAGGAGTTCTATGGTGTATACAAACCATGGAATATGTGAGTAGGTCTATGGTGTATACAAACCATGGACTACAAGAGGAGGTTTATGGTGTATACAAACCATGGAATATTAGGAGGTCTATGGTGTATACAAACCATGGACTATATGAGGAGGTCTATGGTGTATACAAACCATGGATTATATGAGGAGGTCTATGGTGTATACAAACCATGGACTACAAGAGGTCTATGGTGTATAAAAACCATGGAATATGTTAGGAGGTCTATGGTGTATACAAACCATGGACTATATGAGGAGGTCTATGGTGTATACAAACCATAGAATATGTGAGGAGGTCTATGGTGTATACAAACCATGGAACATATGAGGAGGTCTATGGTGTATACAAACCATGGATTATATGAGGAGGTCTATGGTGTATACAAACCATAGAATATGTGAGGAGGTCTATGGTGTATACAAACCATGGAACATGTGAGGAGGTCTATGGTGTATACAAACCATGGACTATATGAGGAGGTCTATGGTGTATACAAACCATGGATTATATGAGGAGGTCTATGGTGTATACAAACCATGGATTATATGAGGAGGTCTATGGTGTATACAAACCATAGAATATGTGAGGAGGTCTATGGTGTATACAAACCATGGACTACAAGAGTTCTATGGTGTATACAAACCATGGAATATGTGAGTAGGTCTATGGTGTATACAAACCATGGACTACAAGAGGTCTATGGTGTATACAAACCATGGAATATGTGAGAAGGTCTATGGTGTATACAAACCATGGACTACAAGAGTTCTATGGTGTATACAAACCATGGAATATGTGAGGAGTTCTATAGTGTATACAAACCATGGAATATATGAGGAGGTCTATGGGGTATACAAACCATGGAATATGTGAGGAGGTCTATGGTCTATACAAACCATGGAATATGTGAGGAGGTCTATAGTGTATACAAACCATGGAATATATGAGGAGGTCTATGGTGTATACAAACCATGGAATATGTAAGGAAGTCTATGGTGTATACAAACCATGGACTACAAGAGGTCTATGGTGTATAAAAACCATGGAATATGTTAGGAGGTCTATGGTGTATACAAACCATGGACTACAAGAGGAGTTCTATGGTGTATACAAACCATGGAATATGTGAGTAGGTCTATGGTGTATACAAACCATGGACTACAAGAGTAGGTCTATGGTGTATACAAACCATGGAATATGTAAGGAAGTCTATGGTGTATACAAACCATGGACTACAAGAGGTCTATGGTGTATACAAACCATGGAATATGTGAGGAGGTCTATAGTGTATACAAACCTGGAATTAACCGAGGGGGTCTGTAAAAAGGGCGTCTGGGAGGAGGAGTGAAGTCCTCAAGTTTCATTGACTCTAACACCGGGTTCCTCTCTACAGCATCATGTCGGAGGAAATGGTGGTGCCTGTGGCTATGGTAAACAACATGTCGCGAGGACATTACCTGTTACAGATAAATAGGTAAATTGATTATCCAATATATATGTGATGATAACAGTGTTAACAGTTTATATGGTACATTTGTATTCACCATTACATTAATCAAATCAATCTGTGTAAATTATTGCCAATTTGTGCTTCTTACTGCCTAATTGTGCAACTTACCACCTGTTTGAGTAACTTTCAGCCATGTAGCTAACAACTTTTGTGCAACTTAATGCTTATTATTGTGACCCAACCTCAATTAAATTAATTTGTAGCCTAGATGTGTAAGTCACAGCCAATCTGTGTGTTTATTTCTGGTTGTGCATTTTGTGGTCTGTAACTTCTTGCCAATTTGTTTATCTTATTTGTAGTTTGTGTAACTCCGAGCTTACAGTTTGTGCTTGGATATTCTTCTTGTAAATTCAACTTACAACTGGAATTTAACATAAATTATATAGCTTTCAATGAATTTGTGGATTTTACTTTATTCGTTGTGATACTTGTTTTCAATTTGTGCATTTTAAAATTAAATTTTTGAAACCTGAATTAAATTTCTAGATTTCATACTGAAATTGAAGATTGCATCTATCTTCGATTATATAGGAAATTTATGGAACTTCCTGCAAATTTTCAACTTCAAAGGGGAATATGATGATCTTAATACCAAATTTAAAACTGGGTTTTCTAGTGAATTTGGGGATGTAGCTGCCAGGCGGGTTCCTACCAGAATTATCTTGCAAAATACCAAACTACAACAATCCAGCTCAAAAGGACAAATTAAACATGCAACAAAAATTATCATATAATACGGTATTGATCACAAATAATCCCCTTCCTCACTTTGGCAAATGTCCTAGGAACAGGGTGGGTGCCTGCAATTAAGCCCCCTTCCTTATTTGGTCTGTTATTGAAGTTAGTTAGCACGATACAAAATCCTTGTAAAACTTTATATACTGTCACAAATTCTGATATTACCTGGGTACGGATGGTTTGGGATACACTGAAGGATATGTAAAAAGGAATTGATGTTTGATGAGGGAAACAGAACGTTGGAATGAATGTTGGTGGTAAGAAAGGTGGCCAAAAAAAATGAGCTGAATAAGTTGTTAAATTCCCTACCATGTAGTAGAACTTGTAGGTGGTGTTGGCCTCAGTGGTGTACATGACATTCACATCAAGCATCTGACCACAGCTGGCAGTGGAACTGACTCTCTCTATATGCATGTAGCTGTTGGATGGAGAATACCATCGCCTGGCAGATAGGTAGCCCTGGGGCTGGTACAGACGATGGGAATTCATGGTCATGTAGTAGTCATAGGTCCTCTGGTACCGGGGACTGTTAGCCTGTAGGAAAATACTTAAGTTTTACATAACGTATAAGTCATAGCTCCTCTGTTAGCCTGATCAAGGGAACATCACATGATCAAGTAAAAGGAACATCACATGATCAAGTAAAGGGAACATCACATGATCAAGTAAAGGGAACATCACATGACCAAAATAATGGAACATCACATGACTTAAGTAAAGGGAACATCACACGACCAAGTAAAGGGAACATCACATAACCATGTAAAGGGAACATCATATGATCAAGTAAAGGGAACATCACATGACCAAGTAAAGGGAACATCAAATGACCATGTAAAGGGAAAATCACATGATCAAGTAAAGGGAACATCACATGACCAAGTAAAGGGAACATCATATGACTTAAATAAAGGGAACATCACACGACCAAGTAAAGGGAACATCACACGACCAAGTAAAGGGAACATCACATGACCAAGTAAAGGGAACATCA